CATAGAACCATATAGTGTAATACAGTTGGTATGTTAGTAAATTGGAAGATGGTAGAGATCATGTACTTATGATACGTGCGTTCCACCATACGTTCCAGTGACGACATACCAGGGCCGGAACGAACATCCGGAAATCACGCAATTGACGTATGGAATGCATCGTGCGTTCCAAATCCCGACACTGGAACCCGGAAGTAAGCCTCAAGAGCGGCATAAAAGAACGCCAAGTTCCCCACATACCACTACTGACTGAGGAAGCCCCATACACAGGGCGAAACATGTATCGGACCAGCCAGGACATTTGGACCCGTTTTCCACACTTGCACTTTACATTTTAGTGCTATTTTATGGACTTGGAAAGCCATTTGGCTATTGGACTTTGCTTCTTTTCTTTCTTTTTTAAGAGCAGTCCTTATGTTTTCACATTGTGTTTTATACATGCAATAAAAAAAGGTTTTTTTTGTTTTTTTAAGAAGAACCTACTTCTCTACCGTTGTTATTCCTGAGACTTCCAAAACTACTAGAAGGACAGGGACGTCCTATTTAATAGTCCCACTGCACCACTCATGGGAGCCATATGATTGCATTTGGCTCCAGGCTTGTGAGTACATGATCGCTACCATCTTCCAATTTATTAACATACCAACTGTATTACACTATATGGTTCTATGTTTTTATTTTAGGGACATTAAGAAGTGTGATCCACCATTGTATGTATTTTATATTTATTATTGTTAGAGTGGTTTGAGGGGTTCCACTCAGGTGGTTACAACAGTCTTGTTGTCGCACTTTATCACTTTATTTACTGTATTTGCTCTATTTGTTATTTCCATTGTAATCTCCTTTATACAGTATTTAGTGATCCTTTCAATATGTCTTTTCTAGAAGATAGAAATTATACAATTAAAGACGCAGACAAATGTCGAAACCATTTAGAAAAAATCCTCAGAGAAATGAAAATGAAATGGGAGGTAGCTACCTTAAAAAGATATGTAAAAGAGCAGATCACACCTAGAGGACTTAGATTCAAGAAAGACCCTTGCTTCATGTCAGGGTGGAATAAACTCCTTGAGGGGTTCTCTTTCAGTATGATGGGTTACATAGTATCCAGAAGGGAAGAAAATCTAACATTGCTAGATGAGGAAATTGTATTATGGAGGCAAAAACTGAGTGATACTATGAACCCAGAAACCTTTAACCAAGCAATACGAGAAATTAAGACCAAATTAGAAAAGGCAGAAAAGGAAACTATTGCAATTAAAAAAAGGAAGTATTTAAGAGATACCCATGATTACAAAATAGGTAATATCAGATTTCCCAACAAAAAACAGATCACATCAATGATACAAAATTGGAACAAAGAAACAGAATGGCGAAATTCATATAGAGAACCTAAATATAGATATCGACACCCACCAGATTCAGACAAAATCTACCCACACGAACCATTATCCCCTAGAGTTATATCTAAGCATAAATCATACAGTGAGCCACGATACTCTAAAGAATACACATCCCAAAAAAGATCAGCTATTGGAAATCAATACGTAAATAATTCACCTTCCAGGACATTACGCTCGACATACAAACACCGAGAGAGAACATACAGTGAGGTAGTGAAACAACCCCCATTAAATAAAATGAAGGAAAGCAGAAGAATAATAAACACCCACTCACCATCACAACGAGCAAGGAGAGACTATATCTCAAACCGAAGAAGTCCAAACAAAAGGACTTATGTAGATGTCATCTCAGAGAGAAGTCCTAGAAGAGAACCAAGAGGATTGGAAAGAGAAAGTGTAATCACTACAGAGAGAAGCCCGAGAAGAGAATCAAGAACACCTGAAAGAGAAAGTGCAATTCCACAAGGAGAAAGAAGAGCCAAAATTGTGGAAATAGAATCCAACAACACAGAGGATTACTATCCCCTTTTTCGGAAGGACCCGAGAATAGAAGATACGATTTGGCAGGAGAAACCAGAGTCATGGGAGTCTCCAGGCAAACGCCCCAGATCCAAAGAACACGAAAAAGAAGAACAACAAGGGAACAGAGAAAAGAGGGGGAAGAGATATGAAAGGAATTTTTAATCTTACCAATTATCCGTTAAGTAAGGAAGAACTAGAAGTCCTCAAAAAAGGCCTCAAATTTGCCCCCACAGCCGAACTGGATAAGTTTGAATTTTTTGTGGATATGAATAAATTTATAAGAAACTTATGTTTAACATTTTTTTTCCACAATAAAGAGGAAACCCCAAATGTAACACTAGATCCAAAATACAAGCAAACACAATTGGAGAAATCCTCTTTTTTCCCTAAACACATGATTTCACACACAATTAACACGTTCGAGACCATGGTTATGGGAGATATTTAAAAAACAAAAAAAACTAAATAGGTTTCAACAAAACATGTCCTTAAAAGAAAACTCTAAAAAAATTACTAAAAAACGAGGAGATAGTCATTAAGCCAGCCGATAAAGGGGGTGGAGTCGTAATTCTGTCAAAAGTTCAATATATGGAGGAATCAGAACGTATCCTTTCAGATCGTACAACTTACCATAAATTAAACTAACCCCACAGAAAAAGTAAAAAATATATTTGAGAAATTTATCAAAAAAGGACTAGACAAATTTTAACTGAGAAAGAAAGTAAATATCTACAAATCTCACACCCCAAAATCCCAGTTTAACTATCTACCAAAAATCCACAAAAACCTAACCAATCCACCAGGCCGTCCCATTATATCAGGGATAAACTATATCCTCTAGAGTCTCAGAATACATAGACACATTACTACAACCTCTGGTGATAAAAAATCCATCACATCTAAAAGACACCATCCATACCCTACAGGTTCTAAGTAACATAAATTGGACCAGAAGTTCCATTTGGTCACCAGCGATGTGACATCCTTATACAGCATTATTCCCCACGAGATAGGACTTAAAGCTGTACAATACTTTTTATACAAAGCTGACTTTAACGAAGACCAAATTCAATTCATTTTGGAAGGTATCCATCTTATCCTTACCAATAAATCTTTTTGGTACAACAATACGTTTTACCTCCAGATTAGAGGTACGGCGATGGGCACCAAATTCGCACCCAGTTATGCCAATTTATTTATGGCATACTGGGAGGAACATTTTATATTTTCCGAGCATCCCTGGGTGTCGAGTTTGGTGTGCTATCGCCGATACATCGCCGATATATTTTTCATTTGGAACGGCTCGATCGAACTTCTGGATATGTTCAACTCCTTTTTGAGTGATAATGATTGGGGTATTGCACTAACCATGACACAGTCAAGCAGATATCAGTTTTTTTAGATTTACATATTTTTATCCAAAATTCTATCATTACAAAAAAAAAAATTTAAAACTGTGGACGCCAATGGATACATTGAGAGAAATAGCTGCCACCACAAACCGTGGTTAAAAAATGCACCCAAAGGCCAATTCCTAAGGATCAGATGAAATTGTACTAACGATGAAGATTATATACAACAAGCTACAAGAATAAAAGGACAATTCGTTGAGAAAGGATATGAAGATCAGCTGACCTTAGAAATTGAAGTACAAAAGAAATCACGACTAGAACAAAACTAAAAATCCACAATGTATACAATATATACAGACTCAAAAAAATCCTTTTATATGTAATTATAATGGCCAGAATAGAAAAATCAAAAAGATTATTAACAAGTACTGGCATCTTTTACAAGACAATCCCATTTTAAAAGAAATTTTGCCGACAACCACAAATTATATACAGAAGGACAGCAAATCTGAAAAGGTCATTAGTACAGAGTAGTGAAGGCCCGAGAACCACCAAACATAAAGGACCTCCAAGGTGGTATTCTCTGAGATATTACCTGTGCCACGTGCTACAGCAGAAAGGCAGCAGGAGATTCGAGAGGTCAATGTGTGGCTTAAGGCTTGGTGCAGGAAGGAGGGTTTTGGTTTTTTAGAGCACTGGGCCGACTTTGCAATTGGGTACAACCTTTATAGTAGTGATGGATTGCACCTAGACGGGAGAGGGTCTGCAGTGCTGGGGGATAGGATGGCTAGAAGGTCGGAGGAGATTTTAAACTAGTACAAGGCGGGTGGAGATGGGGGAGCAGCAAGCTCAGAACAGAGAAGCTGTGTAATGTTGATAATTCACAAAGTACAAGTGACTCATGATATTAAATGTATGCTTACTAATGCAAGGAGCCTAAATAACAAAATGGGGGAACTAGAGGCAGTAGCATACACTAAACAATATGATCTAATAGGCATAACAAACATGGTGGGATGAGACATGACTGGGCAGTTAACTTAAATGGGTACATGTTATTTAGGAAGGATAGGAAAAACAAGAAGGGTGGTGGGGTATGTTTGTATGTCAACCATGATTTATTTATTTTTTATTTATTTTTATTTTTATTTTTATTTTATACATTTTATTTCCAAAATCGTCAATGTACTCTCCATTTTTATTTTTCAATCAAGCCATGGAAAAATAATATATATCTTTAGGGACTTAAATGTGCTTTTAAAAAAAATAATAGTAAAATACAATATTTCTTTGGCCAATAAAATACAATATTTATTTCATGGAATTGGATGCTTTTACATATTAAAACTTTTGACAGAATAAAGTGATTCTTGGATTAGTTGTGGAGTGATAAACTATGCGATGTTTCTAAGTAGAAGTATGGTGTTCAAAGTATATATTACATTTTAGCCCAAAACAGTGAACTGAAAATACAGCTGGCTTGGGGAATGTTTCTCAATTGAATATATTGCCCTAAAAATGTGAAATTGACTTTGAATTCCTGACAATTCACATTTCAGCATATAACCCTGATAGAGATTAATTTGTGGAGAATTGTAAAAGAAATTGTAGATTTTTTTTGCCAAAAATAAATAGTTTATAATTTGGCTATTTTAGCTTTAAAAATGCAATTCTTTCATTGATTTCCCACAATTCCTAATTCCTCCCATGACTTAATGTAATATTTTTTTTTCAATACTAAAAATTTATTTTTCCTTTAATTACAGTACATTTTAGTATTTAACACCTCACTCTAATAATACACTCTGTAAACACTTTATGAGTTATTCAATGCATTGAATGAATGATTTTTCCTTCTACAACACATGTAATGCAACATAGACACACAAACCTACAATAAACAATAATTCATGGCAACAAGTTTCTAGTTTATAATAGGACTGGTCTACCCATAATGCTTTAGTTGTTGTAATGCTCTATCTCCCATCATCCTCACTAGGTTTTGGGCTTGTAGTACACCTCTCAATAACTTCTAAACTCTTTAGCAAACTTTGAAGTTCAGGGAGTAGAGTGTGTAATAAATTACTCTAAAGATTTTCAATACCTTAGTTTTGTAGGCACCAGATATAGATTTATATATGCATATATGTATATAATATATGTATATAATTTTTTTTTTTTTCATTCAAGGTTTATTAGCTTCATTGGTGTGTACATCAGGAAGGCATATATGTGCGTCAAAAATAATGTAGCAAGATAACATCGTAGTATAACATCGTACTTAACAGGTATAGTGGTGAAAGAAAGGTAAATAATAGGTAGCTCTAAGATAACATGCTAGGTTGGCTGGTCGATAGTAGCACAAAGCAACACATTCTCCTATTTAAACATGTCAATATAATTCCGAACCTTGCAACGTCTGTCAAACCCCGACAGCCTAATTCGGCCTCAGCAAGCACAGCCTCTAGGTTTAGTGATACAATATTAAAATGAAAACAATATTAAAATTAAAGTTAACAATAAAATGAAAAGATAAATGTCCAGACTCTCCGTGGAGTCAGGAATAGGGTGGATGGATTACGTGGAGGCCCTCGCGTGAGCTGCGGAGTATATTTGTCTCCGTGCTTCCTTGGGTCTGATTCGGTGCACGTATCTCCGGGCATTTTATCACGCTAAAGTAAAAGTGGGGTGGGTTGAACAAGGCTAGTGACTGATTGTTATGTATAGTCGACTTACGCCTCAGTGTGCACCTCAATTGCCGGTATCTAGGTAACAGAGCAAAAATCTATACGTGCTAGTAAGAAAGTAATCTACATTGGATATAAACTTTACTGTACTGCGTAAACACGCTATGTCTATCTAAGCCTGTGATTATGCTGTCGGCACAGTGAAACGTATATGTATTAGAAAAAAAAAAACAAAAAAAAAACCCTGCAGGTATAGCGCTTTGTCCCCTGTGGGCTGCGCCTGGACAATTAGAGTGATGCTATCGGTCTGTAGCGTATGGTGTAAATATGCTTGCTATATGCAATGTAGGTGAAAGTATGTGCACATTATGGAGCTGTAGCTTAGGGGAGCTCTGTAGCTTACATTGCGCGTTCGTTTTAAAACTGTAAGCTTAATGAATGCGTTTTGTGCTAAATAATAAGATAAAATGGGTTAAGCGTGTTTGCTAGGCGTTATTGGCTTATAGTAATAGGATAGTACAATGGGGCGTAAATACGGAAAGCCTATTTCTGCATGAAGAGCCTATCTAGCATATCAGTCCTACCCAGCCTAGGCCAACGTCCCAAAAAGTATTTTTGATTTTCTTTTTAACCTAAGCCAATATGAACAGCGTTTTAATATTAAAGCATTATCTAGGCTATAATAGTCATTGATGGCCCGGGTGTCCTGTGTTTATTTGGGCTGTACGGTCCTTCGCTGCCTGTATACTGGTTCAAAGCATAATTAAGCATAGTTGGCTAAACAGTAGTAATATAAGACTGTGCAAAGCATGGTGTAGGTCACGTCCGGTTCTAGAACAAAATTGTTCCCGCCTTCTAAGAAGGAAAGACGTAAAAAGGGGAAAAAGGGCCTGCGTGAAGTCCCTATTTAAACAACCGTGGGATTATGTCCCAGCGGTCAAAAAGGGCCTTGTGCCGTGCACGCGTGGCCGGGCGTAGTAAGACACCCTGAGATAAAATGATAAAAGGAGGAAAGTAAGGGAATTTAACATGGCAAGTACATTTGGTTTTATGCCGGGGTATAAACACTTAAGTACTCGGCATACAATGCAATAACAATCTTATGTAGATGTTGCCTATTGTTGAGCGTTCTAAACTAACATAATAATAAAGAGTGTCCACAGCGTATTTAACGTATGGTAAGTCCACATCCAGAGTCAATCTTCGATCAAAAAATTATATGAAACTGTGAGACCTAAGGGTTGCTTGACATGTCCGTGGGCTCACCCTGGTGTACAATAACCCAGGGTACCAGGCCTCCAAACATCATCCCCAGGCCCCCACAGCTTCCCCCTTGGGCACCTCAGCACAGTGGGCACTCGGAGGCAACGTGAGTCCATGCAGCCCCCCCCCCCAAGAGTCTGCAGACCCAGCGCCTCCTGCACCTCCCCTGAACCGTTGGCGCATTGCGGGGTAATCAGATGTCCGTGAACGTCTCGCCCACTGCCGGCCTCAGACACGGGGGAGGGCACGCCGCCCCTCGCCACCGGTCCGCCAGAGGCAAGCGGACCCCCACCCCGCAGGGCTCACAGCCGTGGGGACATTTCTCTCCGGGCGCCCGCCAGACCCAGTGATTGGACATCCGTGGCCTGTGGGTGGTCTGGGACATCCGTCTGCGTCCGTCAAACCCCAGGCCCGTACTCACGGTCAGTGGTGCCCCAAAGGACGGTGATATATGTCCCTTCGGTCTCGTTTGCTGTCGGGGCTCCTTTTGGCAGTCATTGCCAGTCCAGGAGGGCAGCCTGGGCCCAGCACGGAAACTCTCGTCTCAGCGCGTGTCGTCTCCATATGGCCGGGATCTCCCCCACCGGCCGGGGGGGGGGAGCGGGGCCGGACCCCGAGCCAGGAGCTCCTGCCACCAGGGTAAGCATCTGCTGCTTGTCGTCCGTTTCCCAGCGTAGTCAGCCTGTGTTCTACCCGATCAGCAGTCACCTGAGTCTGGTCTTGCTGCTGTGGGTAGGCCGTGAATTCGTTTTCGGTGCACTCAGCCGGTTTTGGGTCACCAACTGGTATCCTCTTGGAGCTGGGGTTGTTCTCCATATTATTGCAACAGGTATTCTGGTCTCGGGGCCCCCCATGGCCATTTCAAGTGCCATTTTGGTTGTTTTAAGCCTGGAGCCATATCAATCTGCTTCCATGCGGCTCGGCGGTCCGGCCCCGCCCCCCCGTCAACCATGATTTAAAGCCAAATCTTAAGCAAGTGGAATGCGATGAAAGTGTGGAAGCTTTATGGGTAAATATCTGCTTGGGGGAAAAGGGAAACCAACTATTGGTCGGGATAAACCACCTAATGTTAATATTGACGAACAACCGCTGTTAGAGCAAATTGAGAAAGCTGCAAATCGAGGTATTGGAAATTTTAATTACCCGGACATAAATTGGGACACAGGAACTAGTAGCTCAGCAAAGGGAATTAGGTTTTTAAACTTGTTAAATGACACCGTCATGTCACAACTTGTACAAGCACCAACTAGAATGGATGCTTGTCTGGACCTGGTTTTAACAAAAACGTTGATCTTTTGACCAACATTCAAGTAGGTGAGCACTTGGGAAATAGTGATCACAATATAATGTCCTTTGAAAAACTCAAAAAACAAAAGCTAAAACAATTTTAAAAAGGTGAATTTCAATAAGTTAAGGGAAGCTTTACAATATATTGACTGGCAAACTTTAGTGAAAAGAACACAGAGGATAAATAGATCCTCTTCCAACAAATTAGAAAAGCACATTTCTCGGTATGTACCATTGGGAAATAAATATAAAAGAAAATTTAAAACCAACGTGTCTTAGTAGAGAAGTAAAACAAGAGATTAAAAATAAGAAAAGGGCATTTAAATCAGACAAATCAGAGGCATCTTATAAAAGATCGAAGGAAGTCAAAGATGCGTGCAAAAAAAAAAATTTAAAAAAATGATTAGATTTGCTAAACTTCAAAATGAAAAAAATTATAGCTAAAGAGAGCAAAACCAACCCCAAAGCATTTTTTTTTTTAAAGTACCGTATATACACTCGAGTATAAGTTTTTCAGCACATTTTTTGTGCTGAAAAACCCCCACTCGACTTATACTCGAGTCAATGTCTGTATTATGGCAATTTACATTGCCATAATACAGACCAGTACTGCCGGGCTCATTTCAAGCCCGGCAGCGAGCTGTTACCTTCCTGCACCTCCTGTTAGCTCCCCTGTCAGCTCCGTTCTGCTCCTAGTGTAAATCTCGCGAAACCCGCGGCCGTCAGAGCGTTGCCACGGGTTACCGTGTCAACGCTCCGCGCGGCACACAGACCGTGAGGTTTACATTGGGAGTAGAACGGGGCTGACAGGGGAGCTGCACGGAGGAGAATGGAGCTGACAGGAGCTGCAGGAAGGTAAGTAACAGCTCACTGCCAGCCCCCCACTGCCCAGCCCATCCACTGGACCACCAGGGATTCACATAGCCCCCCTCCCTGGCCAGGCAACAAGCAGGGAGGGGGGACAAAAAAAATACAAATATTAAAATAAAATATAAAAATGCCCTCCCCTCACCCAGTTTACACACAGCATTATATACTAAACACACTAACACACACACCACATTAATTATATAGGGTAGAATATTACATATTCTATATATGTTCCTATTCAAATACATTAAGATGTGGCTGTCTAATGGGTTAAACAGAACAGATGGCGTTTGCTATTCTGTACCATGAGGTCTCTGGAATTTGCTGTATAAGATTTGGGGTGGTCTTTATATGGGGAATTTCCTTATATGGCCAGAGTCTAAACTAAACGTTAGGATTTAATTTGGGCTATAAAGGGCAGAGGACAAAGGTCCACCCTCTCTTCCTTCTACTATCCATTTTGCTGTCCTGAGTTGCTGATACAAAGACGACTAAAGTCTTTAAGAAATACCATCTGTTAAGTATATGATGGTTTGCTATTTAAGTAGAATAAATGCATATTTTTTATAAAGAACGTCAGATTGCGTATTAGTACTTTTCCTTAATATAGACAATGTGGCGAGCATTATATTTGGCCCAAGAAAAATATCTATATCTATATCCAGAGTATCCTTGCACTCACGCTTTCTAGCTGGTGTTGGCCGGGTGCTTTGGTATGCCTGATCCTGATGAAAGTTCCAGATGGAACTGAAACGTTGATCTTTTAATGGATATTTAATAAACAGTAAGTTTTAATTTTCAAAGTCTGAGAGTGCTGATCAACATACACATACATACATAACTTTTTCAACTAAATAAACACATAGCCAATTACTACATTGACGAGCCAGCTAGACTTTCTGGCATTCCACTCTTCCATTAAGGGGGAATTGAGCAGAGGAAGTAAGTTAGAGGACGGATCAAATTACTCTTTGTGTTGAATAGAAGACTGTTCCAAGATTATATTCTACAACAGACAAAAGCATGTGTTATAAAGAAAGCAGCACAAGATACAACGTGAAGTCTAGAAGCAAG